TCTTTCCCTCTCTGAGAAGGAATACTCAGGGAGGAGCGGATTTGTCTGGTATCAGTGAAGGAGAAGCTGCACAGATACCTGCTCAAGACTTTTTTACACCTTTCATTTAAAAATGATCTATTTTTTTCTGTCCCCCCACTGTGTCTCCTTTGGTGGTGGAAGTGATGGGAAGATGATTCAGTTGCCAATCTATTCTTGCCAAAAAAGCTTGCTGAAAAATTGCTCAGAAGTGTTCTATAAAAAAGAAAATTCTCATCCTCTACATATCTAGATACTGAGTATCCCCGTTGTCTGCCAGCAGACCCTGCAAGACTTGGAGGACCCTGGCAGGGTCGGAGGGATTCTCCCCCAAAGGGTACTAGGGGCTGTAATAGTTTTGTCCCCCACTGACAAGTTGTTGGACAAAGACAAAGTTCAGGCAGGGGCACCTCCCCCACCAGCATCACTTACCGGGTGGTAGATTCCACTGGTGGCTAAGAAGAACAGGAAGGATGGGTAAATTTCCAACCTGAAGAGGAGAGGAGGGTTTGTGTCAATGCTGCTTATAGGGAGATCTCTGCAGAAGTGGGAAGAAGGACAAGGTCCCTGCTGGACCTGACTCTCAGGAGCCCATGCTGGGGCTGGAGATGGACAAGCAGCACTGCTTTGCTGCACGGATTACACAGCTTCAGGTGTGAAGCCAGAAACCGAGCATTTAGTAGCAGCATTTAGTAGCCTAGTTGTGGGCTCAGCTTCACAGCCCTGTGTATTTCGAGACCTGTGTCCTTAGGGTGGTACTTACGTGTTTTGGTGCGCACGCTGGATGCAGTTGAATATATGCCCATGCTCAGGGTCTGTGCTATACATGGTTGGATACTGTCAAAACACAAAAAGCAAATGCAAAGCATGAGTGAGTGCAGTAGATCCTCTGGCAGTGAGACCCAGCCCTGGAGCCCTGGACCGAGGGCAGCACCACTAGAAAGGGCAGAAACGCTCTCCCTTGGCAGTACAGATGTTACAGGGCAGGGCCGTGGCCCTCATTGCTGTCTCCAGCCTCAAAACCTTGTACTTTCAGTGGCCTTCACTTGGCACTAAGCAGCTGAATCCCGGATGAATCCTGGGCTGCACTGGGCTGCCTGTGCTCCACTTGGGAGAGGCACAGTAGCAGCTCCACCCCTTCTACACCCATGTGGAGGGGCAGGAAGTGTTGGAAGGTCATGCAAAAATAAACAAGGTGTTGCCCAGCCTATCTGCAGAGCCGGGGAAAGCATGGGAGAGCAGCACGGAGTGCCAGCAGCAAGCAGGGGCCTGACGCAGTGACAGGCGACAGCTCTCCAAGGCATCTGGGGGCTGGGAACTGGGCTGCAAACCGGAGGGAGAGGCAGGAGCTAAGCTAATAGCCCCCTTCTCTGGCACATAAACCCTACCAGTGCAAATTGCCGCTGCAAGGCTGCGTGCAAGCAGTGCTGGGGAGGAAAGGACCGGCATGGAGCCAGCTAGGCCTCTGCCCCACCAACAGCACCGGCCCTTGCCCTGCGTGGACCACCGAGGATGGGGCAGCGGATGCTGTGTTGGCCCATACGAGGGGCTGAGGCGCGAGACGGCGCTGCCCCACTCACCTCCACCTTGTACTTCTTGCGGGCCTTCCCCACGTTCATGGCGAGATGCCCCACCACAAAGAAGCTGGCAGCCCCTGTCAGGATGACGTAGCCATACTCCTTGGAGAGAACAACCATCTTGGCACTGTGAGAAAAGAGAGAACGTTGCTCTTTAGGGGGGGACTGAAGACAAGGCACCCAGTTAATGCGTGGCAGCATGCACGTGTGGGAGCGTGCATGTGTGGCAGTCACTGAGAATGGACCTCTGTCGTCCTCGCCTGGGCACTACCTGACAGAAGGGAGAAATTGTAAGGCAGGGAGGTGTCACTTTCACTGTGGAAAACAGGCACACTGGGAGGTGTTCAGTGAGAGGTACGAAAGCCGGAGAGGGTGGACAAAAACCAATTGTTCACTGCTACTTCCAGCACCAGAGCTAGGGGTCATCAGATGAAGCCAGGAGGAGACAGATTCAACAAAACCAGTGGAGTTTTTCCTGCAATGAGAATTAGGCCTGTAGAGCTCCTTGCTCTGCAAAGGATATTGTGGATGCGGGCAGTTTTCATGAACTGGAGGGCTCAGTTGGGGTTATTATATAGACAAACTACAGCTGTCTCAGAAATCCCCTGAGCTGAAAGGAGCTGGGCTGTAGGAACCGTTAGACTGAACCACTAAGGCTGTGCCTTATATATATATATGAACTATGAAAATGTATAAATAACAAAGCCCGCTTCTCCTTCTTCCCCACTGCCACGGGGTGCTCGCTGCTGAGCGCTGTGGGACCGGCTCTCTGTGCTCCGGGTACCCCATCCCAAGGGCTTTGTCCGCATGAGGTCTGGTAAACAGCTGCTTTAGGTTTTCAGTGTTCTCTTTAACAACTAATAAATGCCAGCTGTACCTGCATGCAATGGAAGCTGCCGCCTGATGAACACACTGGAAACACCAGGCATTCCCCGCCCCGTGTTTTCCTCTGCAATTAAAAGCCTGGCAGAGAACCCAGGCTTAACAGCAAGGACCAGGCACGCCACCTTTCACAGTGCCAAGTTACAAACTGTGCTTTTATGGCTTTAACTTAAAAGCAGCAATTTGGGCAGCGAAAGGCCGTTCAGCTGCAGCAAAGCTCTGCCCAGCCTGTACATGCATGAAGCTGTCTTTTGTGAAGCAGCTACTCTTATGCCACGGATACAAAACTATGCAGAGAACTTTTGCTCTACTCATGTGCAATTCAAAGTCAACACGACCTTCAGCTTCTCTCCGAGTGTGTGCCTGGTGGCTACTTCCTGGTCTTGAGAGCTTCTGCATTTCGTTAACCTTTGCCCAGGGCTACCAGGGTGGGGAGCAGACGCCTGGCGCTGAATTCCGCTTGCGGCGCTGAGGCCAGGCAGCGACGGTGCGGTGACACAGCAGCGATCTAGCGCTGTCGCCGGGAGATCCGATGAAGGATGCGGGCCCGGCCGGCCACCAGAGAGCCCTCCGAGGGGACGCACCTCCTACGCAGGCCTGCGCTGCGCTTCTGGCCGGATACGGAGGCCCGGGGCCAAGGGGGCCGCTGGCAGGAGGGGCCCGCGCTCACCTTCACCGCTGCCGCCGGCGAGACTGATCGGGCCCGGAGCGCGGGGCGGAGCTGGTGGCCACCCCGTCACCGTCACCGCCCCTCAGCCGGCCTTGCGCTGGGCTCCGTGATTTCACGTCTGATTCGCGGTTTACCAACGCGATTTAGTGGCCGCAGGACAGAGCCCGTTTATTAATGCAGATTCCTCACGCGTTTCCCTTTCATTTTGCCTGATCTGCCTGGTACCGGGCAAACGCGGGTTCGTGCGTTGAGTTGCTGCATGTCTGCGTGCAGGCGGATGCCTCTCGGCAATTAGCAGCGTGAGGAAAATGAAGGATCTTATTCATGTCTCCCTCTGTTCCTGGTCTGTTTGGCACACGCAGCCCTGGGGCTTTTGTGTCCAAACACAAGTCATTTCCAAGAATGCGTGGATACTATCTAGGCAATATATTTTACATTAAAAGATTCCAGTTCCTTCGCATTAAATTTTGACAAGAGATGACTTGATTTCCAGTAACCTTTAGCACCCACTGCTGTTCCCGGGCTATCCAAAGGGCTCCTGCAGCCCAGGGCTTCTGGTGACGGAGCAGCCTGCTCCAGAGTCTGCATCTAAATATAAGATCCTGCCCTCACAACCCTGGTTGTAATCTCTTAGCTTATATCCCAGCTTTCCACAGGAAGAAAATTCTCAGATTCTCTGGGGCACCAGTGAGCTATCTGATCCTGGAGGCCCTGCTGGGCTTTCTGGCCAAAAAGACCTTGGTAAAGGTAAATTCTCTGGTTGCAACACAGTTCTGGGGCCTTTCCTGTGTCATGGGACGTAACTCTCCCAGTCTGTGCCTGTGACATGACAGGCCCCGTGCTGATCCTGCTTTTCTATGGGTGTCATGCGGTGGAGGAGTGTCAGTGTCAGGAGGAGCATCCTTTACCTGGGGCTCTGGCCTCAGGTAACTCCTTAAGGTTGAGAGTTGCCTTGCACATTCAAGGAGGAGAAATGCGATAGCATTTTACTGGAACAAGCCATGCACCCTAGTTAGTGGCACTAACTGCCAGTCGCCAGTTACTAAGCTGATCCTCTGTTACACTCATGCTAGTTAATGGTGGGTGTTGTTATCATGAAGATCTTGCACTGGTAAATACAGTTGATTTTTTTTTTTGTTTGAAATCCCTCTGGTGTTTTATGAGCTAGTACATTTTCCCTGAACGAGTTAGCATGACGTAGGGGCTGTTGAATATTTTGTCAATGTCCTGCATCCCCATGGATGAGTAAATATGAGGGTACCAGAATGAACCAAACGACAACACAGGGACTTTGTTCTCTTGCAGTTTTATTTTGGTTCACAAAAATCACATCTGGAGTGGGACACATAATAGGCAAAAATGGATCATAAGAGCCCGCTCTCAGGGCCCAGGACAGGCATTCAGAAGGATTCCTAGGGCCAATTCTAAGTGATTGTGTCTTCCTCTTCCTCTTCCTCATCCTCCCCCTTGGCTGTGTGGACTTCATATATCACTGCGCAGATGCCAGCTAGCCAGGCTACCACAGTGCCAGCTGAGAATATACAGAAGCCAATGAGACACAGAAAGATGTAGTCCTGCTCATGCAGCTGGGTCAGGCAGTTGGCCCGGAGCTGTGCCTGCACGGTGGGCATTTTCAAACCACGGAGACCTTCTGGCACATAGCAGGTGATGTTCTCGGCATCTGCAAAGGGAGCAGGAAGAAGCAAGGCTAAATTGCCTGTGCCTTGAGCAACACTGGATAGGAGTCCTGCTGGGAAAACAGTGGAGGTGTTTCCTAAAATCCTTATTTTTCCTTTCTTTCTCTCTCTTTTTTTTTTTATGTTAAACAACTTCTGACATGGCATAAGCTAAACTGAAAGAAGTTATTTTAGGCTGGAATAATGAGGCCTGCACCTGGAGAGTCAAGTCAGAAAACTAGGTTTGTTTGCAATTAGGTGTATGAAAGAAAATGAGGAAACTCATCAGTGATTTGGTTCCACTGAAACAATGACTGTGTCCTGCCACATTGTAATACACGCTGTGAGAAAACAGAGGCTGACTTTTCCTTCTGGAGCTGGGGAAGGCTGGCTGCGGTGGAAAGCACTGTCTCCTTTTGACGTTTGTAGAAGCACAGTGTAGCTTCAGCCACAGCTGTCTCCTCCCTGTTTTTTTTTTTTTTTTTTTTTTTTTAAATCAGTGCAATGAACAGAGTTACTGTGACACAGATATGTCAGTCACTACTTGAGATACTGCATGAATGGTCCTTAGGGAAAGGAAGTAGAGGAGAGAAACAAACAACAGGGGATTTATATTATATTGCATTATGTTATACATTAATGAGTTGATAACAGCTGTAATGACTTTTCGTGCTGATAGCCTTCCTTGGGAGGAGTATAACTGGAGAACTTGTTCTCTCTTACGCAAAACCATCCTGTCTTGGGAGCGCCCTGTCAGCAACTAGCCTGCACACAGCTCCAGCTGAGCACAGAGCACCGCTGCAGAGGTGTTCTGTGAAGCTGCAGCAGCTTCTTAAACCAGGATGGGGATCTGCTGGCAGCAGATTTCAATGCTTGTGTTGCCCCTGAGTTACATCACCTCTCTGCACTAGAGCTGTCAGCTGCTGGAACGACTCTCATGTTAGAACCACCTGGTCCCGACAGACCGGGAGTTGCCTTTCCCTGGCTGGATGCAGATAGGCACGTGTGGTCCAAGGTTCCCAGCCTGGATACACTTACCTGCAGCATTAAAGTTTAACATAGTTCTCACTCCAGTTCAGGAAACAGGACACCCTGCTGACTCACCCGCAGCACCTTGCCGAGAGGTGGCAAGGCCTGACAGAGGAGGAAACTGGAGCTCAGCCTCCGCTCGCTACTGCTGAGGCTTTTTTCTCCCCTGTTCTGACACATGTACACAGGTGGAGGGGACATTTCTTCTAAATCCTAGCACAGTCTGTTCCATCTCCTCCCAGCCTCATCAGAGAGGTTTAAATAGATGCCTTGATCTCTTTGGCTTTCCCGTCCTTCATAGAGTTGTGCGGGGATCTATACCGCCACTTGCTTTTCTACTCATATCTTTGCAAACCATTTGCATTGAGCTTTACTCTTCTGTTCGGGGCTTCCGTGGGTTATTTCCTAACTACTTAGCTGCGATGGGTAGTACTTCTTTACACTGCTCCATAGTTGACTGTAATATATCTGAGGAAAATGGGTAACTTTACTCTCTGCAGGGTGTTTAGTACATCTAGTAACATGCACAGACAACCCTAATTCTGTTCTGTCCTAACAACAGGTTCATTTTCTCCTCATTTTTCTTCCCCCTGGTTCTTATGTGCCCCTTTCTTTGTCGATGGACAGACTTTCTTGAACAAATTGTCTTTTGCAGCTCTCCCTCAGGTTTGTAACATGAATTACTGAGTTTTTTTTTTTCCCTAGTTCAGTGATTTGTTCTTTTTCAATTTAGAAAATCAAATATAAATTTCAGAGCTGTAGAACAAAGGTTTACCCCTGGGACGAGTGCTTTTCTGGAATAGGGAACCGGTGATTAATTTGCCTTATGAATACTGTAATGCCTGTGGTCCAGAGCAGAACCTCTCATTA